AAGGCTCAGATACTAGGCTCTGCCCTCTGCTGTCTTTTCAACGATCCCCAGTACATAGCGAGGGTTTGGACATGTAATCCAAACGAAGAAGAGCTGGGGTAACTGGTGTGACCGCGGTTCTCCTGAGACCACTGTCTGATCCTGCTGCTGTAGGTGGTAGGGCCAGCAGCACCAATAATTTCTGAAGCTCAAGCCATGCGGGAGTGGATTCTTGGAAGCGGATTTCAGTTGAATTAAAGAAAGTACAGGAGTGCGACACTTCTTGCAGCCCCCTGCTCCCAAATTAAGATCTTGGCCTGCTCCATTTGTAAGGCATTGGGGAATCAAGGGGAATTAACTCCTGATCTCTGAATGCCATCACCTGGGGTGTCGCAGAGGCTCGTAAAGCCCCCCCCCCCCCCGTGGGTAAGACCATTCAAAAAACTCTGAGAATGTGGTGCAAGCTGCGGTCAGAGTTCTCAGACACAGGGGAGTTTATTTTTGCAAAAGGCTGACAGCCAGGAAGGGGGACTTAAGTTCCTCCGGAAGGGATATATGAACTGCTCCCCCCATCATTGCATGCCAACACCGCTATTGTGTAATTGCTTTAGCTGTAAACTCATAAAACTTTTGTAGATCCAAAGGTTATTTTGGAAATGTGCCTGCTTGATATGAGCTAAGAGTCTGGAACCCAGTGATCGAACAGGGAACAGTATAGTTAATGATTTCCATAAAAGTGCTTCGAATGGTATCTTCCTGAATGCGGACTGGGAGGGCTCTCCTGGGTCAGCCAGCCCTTCCCACACTCCTCCTTCTTTAGCCTGGTCCATCACACTGGAATTGAGCAGGAGGCCAACATGGGATGTGGATCTGGTGAGGTTTGAGGGTTGCTATCTCAAAGACCAGGTCTGGACTGTGTAGATGGGGCCATGTGAACTCCTCCCCATACCTTCTGCAAGCGGATCAGCGCCTTGTGGCTCGCCTGAACCCATATAGCCTTCCAGCATGGTTCTCTCTCTGCTCTCATTACGTCATTACTTCCTTGTTTGCAATCATTTAATGGTTATTTCGTGAAAGACACCAAACGTCGTTCCACGGCATTCAAGGCTTTTTGGGGTTACATGTTCCTAGGTGGTGTTCCCTGGCTGCACTTTGTTCTGTCAGGGCTGCCCTCACTGCCCCTCCTCAGTTCTCCCCTGTATTCAATTAGTCTGTCCTCTCTGCCTGGAGTGCCCCGCCCACCAGTCCTCTCTCATCCTTTAAGGATCCTGTTACATGTCACCGAATTTGAGGACTTTTTTCTGGCCCAGGCCAGGGCATCAGATATACTTCAGCTTGAAATTCCCTCCTCCAGCACTTAGGACTCCGAAAGATTAGGAGATTTTCTGAGTTCCTCTGCCTCGGTTTTCTCGTGTGTGGAATGAGTCTCCCGCTTCCACCTGCGGGCTGGAGGTTAGGACTGGGCTAGCCCCTATTGGGAAGGATGGAGCAGGATTCTCTGTGAACTTCAGCATTAAGGAACGGGGCTCACTATGCTGACTATTGGGGTCTTCTTTCTGGAAGTTTCATTTAAATGGAGTCTCTCTTACATTTCCTATTACAATGATTGAATTTTGCATTTCGAATCTGTAGCACACATTTTACTTCCTCTCTTGAGAGGCCCCTGGAAGTGAAATAGCAGTTTCTGCTGACTTAGCACCGACACTCTTCTCTGTTGGGTCCTTGGCCAATAGGTAGAAACGGACTGTTCCAGTGTTAATCACTGACAGCATTTTTAGTTTTCTGCCCCTTTTCCATCTAAAAAAGTTGAAAATGGATTTTATAACTCAATTTTCTTGGACCTGAGAATCTCAGCTGGGTTTCCAGAGTGGGCAGTTTGTGAAGCGGCCAGCGGGAATTGGTACGTTTCTATTAAGTCTTGGGAAACTTCATGCAGCTTAAGGACACTTGTTCTCAGCTCACTAGTCTTTCAACAGGCATCCCCCCTTTTTTTTCTTAAAAAATAAAAAAAGCTTCTTGGTCTAATGACTTTGGAAAACATTAGGGCCCCATGAGGAGCCACTCCCGGAGAGCCAGAGGACTCGCTAACCAGGGAAAGGTCCTCCAGCCAAAGGAGCTCTGAGCTGCTGATGACGGCTGACATTATCAAGGGGTCATGTCAGGCGCTCTGAAACAGGCCCTCACACAGGCCCTCACACAGACCCTCTAAGGCAATCCCCCGGAATGCCCCCAGAAAACAGAAACATTGCTATTCTCATCTAACAGTGAAAACCCTGACATTTGAAAGGGTCCAAGTTCACACAGCAGGGAGAGGGCTGAGATTGATGTCAGCCATCTACAAAGCTGGAACCAAATACCCTGTTCCACATTCCCCAAGTCACCTAACCAAGCAATATAGTGAACTGTCCTCTGACTAACAGCCATGAAGCCAGTTACTTGGAACTCGCTTTGGGAAGCAGTTTTACCACCAAAATATTTCCCTGTTGGAGAGCTGAGGTGATCTTTATTCCTCTGTGCTGGGGTACCCATCCTTTGGTTTCTTGTGGTAAGGGGCTCAGCCTCTGAAGTCCATTTCAAAGGCTACTCCATAGGGATCTCTCTCTGACTGAAGCCGACTGTGGTACAAGGCATTTCTTGGTGGTCTCGTGTTGTCTGCACTGCTGCTGACGGTGACATTGCCTTTAAAGCACATTGCTAAAGTGCCCGGCACACAGTGTGACCTCTGGAAAGGCTTGTTGAACAAGATGGAGTTCTTCTTCTAGTCCTTGGATCTTTGACCCCTAAGCATGACTTGTCAAGTCTGGAAAACTGACCTGAGACCCATTCTATATCCTACAAACTTGGGTAAGCCTGGCTCACACAGAATCAGGTCAGACAGGTAGCCATGGTCTCCTGGCAGTTCAATAGTTAACATTCTCTTTTTCCCATTCCTGGAAGAGTCTGTTGCTTTCTCCTAGATTCTATAGCAAGAACACAGTTAAGCCACCTTGGGTATCTCTCATCAAGACCGTTTTGGAGACAGCTCTGACTGGTTGCTTCCAAGGCATGTCCATATTTCAATACTAAGCTCACGTGACTAAACCCCGGGTGAGTCAGCTGGCTTGGGGATTTTTGTTAGCCACCCTTATTGCCTTTGATTTCATCTTCACAGTGTGTGTGTGTGTGTGTGTGTGTGTGTGTGTGTGTGTGTGTGTACAGGGGGAAAGGGGAGTGTAGTGTGTGTGTGTGTCTGTGTGTCTGTGTGTGCGCACACGCATGCTCCTTGGGCTCTGGGGTGGGGCCTGGCAAGTTTGCCTTCCAGAGATGCCGCCAGCCTCTGTGGGAGCCTGTGATGGGAAACCACGTCATGCCATACTGCGCAGTTTTAGGCCGCACCCATCCCCAGGGCCCACTCAGGCGCCATGCAAGCGCTGGCCATCCAGTTCTCTCGCTGCCTGCGATGAGGTCATGGGTGGGGTACTGGAGACCCCCTCCAGATAGGGTGGGGGCTTCCTCTACTGTCCAGGAGTGGGCCTGAAGGACTGGGAAAGAGGGGGATAGGTTTGCCTATCTGATCTCCTGCTCCCTGCTCCCTGGTAGTGGTCTGTAGGCTAGTGTGGGTAGCACAGAGGGAGAAAAAGAAATTAGGGAAGGTACGGAATAGAAAAACCTATGGATTGGCAGTCGCAGGCTACTTGCCCCATTAGCAGTTTTGGGTAGAGGGATGTAGCTAACAAATAGTGCTCCTTGACCACCTTGCCAGGAGCTAATAGAAGCTCCTCCTTGCTTTTATACAGTAATGCTTTTACTCTGATCTTAATCAACAAGACCTCAAGGCAAGGGAAACCAGAGCAATCCTCATTATGTAACTAGACTTTAACACAGAAGGGAAAAAAATAACAAGAAGGTAGAGGCTTTCTCAGCTGGAGACAGTGACTACGGCAATAGCTCCCATTCTCTCCCAAACCTAACTAATCAAGCAAACCTTGATTGCTCTGATTTCTACACCGGGGAGAGGATCTTGCACACGGAGGTTACCTAACCTCTTTGGGTTCCAACCATGTAAGCTCAACCAAACCTACAGTTTTCTAACCTCTGCCCGAGATCTCACACACACACACACACACACGTATGTAACGACAAGTTCAGGGTCTCTGCTAAAACTCTTAGCCTCCAAGATCCATCTTCTGATCTCAGTGACTATCTAGGGTGCGGCGGGGATTGTACCTGGAATTCTGCCTTGGAAAAACAGGAGCTCGCTGATAACAGAGTGTTTCTCCAGGAAACAGAAAGATGTACAGAATGTTCACAACCCTCCACCCCAAGATGCTTCTCAAAAGACCAACGCATAGAAAAAAAAAACCAAAATTATAAAACAAAAGCAAAGCGAGCTATCCGAAGACACAACTGGCAAGTCAGCTACTCTGTGCAGATAACGACACCATCAGCCGACTATGACTTAAGCTCAAAATGTCATGGCATGTTCAACTGTTTTTGTTTTGTTTATTTTTCTCCTCCAGGGAGATAAAGTTAATATTAGTAATATATTCCTGGGTTCTTACACGAAACCTAGGTCAAATGGTTTTCTTAACTGTACAGAACGTATTCCATAAACAGTAAGTCACAGTAACCACGGCTGAGAGACATTTTAGAATGTTACCACAGTCTAGGAGAAGGTTTCCCGAGTTCTAAGACTCTCAGCTCTGGAAGCGAGTTGTGCATAAACAGATATTGAGATCTTGGCTATCATTAGCCCACCGGCCACTGGACAATCAATGCTCAAATTCTGGGGGTTTCAGAGAACCCCTCCCACCGTTTTTAGAGAAACAGCATTTCCATGCAAAGACGCCAGCCACACCAAGCGGGGTAGAGAGACACTGCTGCTGAGACTCTCCAGCCTCTGATTTACCATTTGTTGACACTCTATCCGCACATCCCCCATCTCTTTACAAGTAGCTGTCTGTGGTTCTTCCTGCAAATATTTTGATAAAGTTCAAACAGAAGAGGAAAAGAGAAAAGCTGTAATAAAAACCGTAGCTTACCTTTCCTGGGCATTGCTGGGTTCAGACTTCTCCCCCAGACATGAGACTTCTGTGCTTTGGTTCTCCCATGAATTTAGAAACCATTAACAAGTACTCAGAACAGAAATGCGTTTACTACTGAAGCTGCTCCACAACAATGCAGAGAAGTTATGTTGGTGAAAAGCAGAGCATGTGTGGGAAGCTCGGCGTTCATGCTGTCGGATGAAGTTCTGCAACCGTCTTTCTCAGTTTAAACTGCCTCCCACTCCTTCTCCCAGGCACTTGCCAACTTCTATAATTTAAAGCAACTGCGATCCTTCCCATAATACTCACATTTCAAAGAGTTTGCTATATACACTCGTTAGTCATGAGGAGGAGCAGGCAAGGTTCTTCTGCAAACCCCAGACGGAGGCAGATGCAGAGCGAAGGTCTCAGGTATCCCGAGGATTTTTCTATCCCGCAGCCATGGCTGTTTGCACCATGTGGATTCATATCGCTGTAGCCTTGAAAGTGGTATCTAGAGACCGCATGGCATCACTCCCCTGACGCAACAAAAGCACTCGGGAAAGTTTACGCAGCAAACTTAGAAAAGGGGACTGAAGCAGTGGGATCGCGGCCACGCACCACTTTTACTAACAGGATTGTTTCTCTGTGACTTGCTCTTAATTGTTGCACCCAGTGTTTTCATGAAACAGGGAAATGCTTAAGATGATGTTATTTACATTGGTCTTGTTTAAGCATTATTCCCCGTGTGTATCATAAATCTAGGAAGGACACGTGCCTCGCAAATTATGTCTACGCAATTGAATAAATCTTCTGACATTTTAGCCTGTGATTAGAATAAATCTTCTGGCATTTTAATCGGTGAATGTGTTGTGCATTTTATTATCTATTTCCTCCCACTGTCAACACACACACACACACACACACGAGAATTAAAATCATAGCCAATTTTTAAAGCACTGTTTAAGTGTTGATTTAAAAATATTTTATGGTATACATCAAAATAATTCTTGCTTAGTGCCTGCTAAGTAACCTGTGCTCAGTAAATACTGAATGGAGTAATGTTTATGTTTGTATCAATCAACAGTTGAGTCAACTTTGATCAACACGCACAATCCCCTTCAAAATGATCAATAGGTCAGAGTGTGTAGAAATTAAAATAGGCCAACGTATGGCTTTGATTGACAATGAATAGCTATGCAATAAACCCCCTCAATGAATAGAAAACATCACTTAGACAAATAAATCATTCAAGAACGACCAGAAACATCGACATGGACACTTTCCATTAAGTATGTTCACTGCACAGATATGGGCAAAAAAGTCCTGGGATAGAACATCATTATTACAAAGGCTATCAGCCCTTCCCTTGTATTTTAGAGTTCATTCAAGTAAGTATTACACAATAGGTAGCATTTAAAGTATTTTATAGTACACAAATCATAAGTACAAACAGAAATGACCAAAGCCTACAAGGAAATGAGCAGGCTTTACGTTTTCTCTGCTGAGAATCAGAGGGATGGTGGGGTCTCCTTTGCTTGGGTTTCTGCTGAGGAGTGGTCCCCAGGCATGGTGCACTACGTGCGGAACTTAACACACATGCTGGAGCCACACTCCCTGTAGCCCTCAATATGCCACCTTATTTTTAAAAAGTGTAAATGTAAAAGTGTAAATACAAATGTTTCAAAACAATGTATTTGCACATATGTTTACTACAAAGCAGTTATTTGATAAATATTAGTCAGTTGTCTTTCTGTGTGGGAGGAATTTAGTAAGTTCTCTTATGATGTTTACCACAGAAGCCAACATGACCATCCTGATCAATGCCCAAATTGCTGATAGACATGGATGATGCTCTATCACAACTTTTAACCCAGTCTCATTAGATGGGAAGAGATGAGTGTGAGGGGCTGGATACGGGGCTGGAAAGGCAGCGGTCCATGTCCTGCAGTGGCAAAGCCTTTGGTGATCTTGATAGCAACCATAACTTGGAAGGCAATGTATACTAAATAGCTTTATGATTCTAGAAGAAAGAGATGGGAGAAGAAGACACATGTTATGTGACCAGCCACTGCTGGCTGCAGTTGACAAGGTGTTTCGAGGATGAGACCATGGGAAAGACGTGTACAAGTTATAAACCCCAATAAAAGGGGAAGGGAAGAGTGTACTGGTACTGTATTTTATAGTTTGAAGGATGCTACCAATATCTTGATGGGCTAAAATGTCTGTTACAAAATTATATTGCTGTATACTCAGCAATGTCTTTCAAAAGTGGAAACAACCTCTTCTACTGGCAAGATGTGAAATGTAGGCTTACATGGAGGCACACACCCCAATACACACCTCTCTGGTCAAGAGAAAAACTGGAATTGGGGGGGGCTATCAGGAGGAAGCAGAGAGCCATGAACATAAGAATGTCCCAGTGGGCAGATTCAAGACTCTCTTTGGCCCATGAATGGTCAGGGCCCATACTAGCTGCTTGGATAAACTAGGTATCAGTAATTGCTGCCTCTGATTTCACCCTATTGTGAATGAGAATTTATGGTGGTTATACTATTGCTGCTGTAACTTTTGCATGGTGTGTGTGTGTGTGTGTGTGTGTAAGAGACAGAGACAGACACAGAGAGACAGAGGCACAGAGAGACAGAGATGGAGAGAGAGAAAGAGGTGGGGAAGGATTTCCCGATTTTGTTTATAAACTTTTGTTTAAGTGTCCAGATTTCGAGGTTAAGACATGGACCAAACAAAATATACAGAGAGAATTTGATAAGCAGGAAGTAAGACCTTTGATCTAAATATAGTAATCAGTCAAAATTCTAGACATATATATATATATATATATATATATATATATATGAGGTTGGAGGAAAATATATAACTATGAAACCATTACCATAATCTAGTAACAAACAATAATAATAAATAGTTATTTTCAAGTTTTTCTTGTATAATCTATCATCTATTATATATCAATATATTAGCTATCTATTATGTCTATTTATTTATATCCATTTATTATGTCTATCATCTATCTATTTCTCTGTTATCTATCTATCTATCTATCTATCTATCTATCTATCTATCTATCTATCTATCTATAATTTCACTAATTCATTTTATTCTCTTAACAGTCCTGCAAGGGAAACACTAATATAATCCTTCTACGGTTGGACAACTGGAAGCACAGAGAGGCCAAGTGACTAGCTCATGGTCACAGACCAGGGAGTTGCACTGAGAGTGTCTGATTTAACCAGTCTGTTCAAACTCTTGTGTGTTGTTGAGAAGTTTTCTCCAGGGCAAGTGAAGAGAACTTTCCTGGGCCATCCATTTCCTTAGTCTGATTGCTGGGTAGATATTTGTGATAAGTTCTGGTTTCTCCTGAAAACTTTTCTAAAACACAGTGGGTTGTTTTCATGTGGAAAGCACACCCGCTCCTCTCTGAATGTAATTTATGTTCAGATCATTTCCTTGCGTTAAACTTTGTGCTCTGTTTTGATGGTTAACTTTCATCATTCTTGGCTTGCATGCTGCAAGCCAGCCAAGTTTCAAATGTTATTTTGAAACCCAGTGACTTTTCCTGGATGTCCTAATAAATCTCTGCTGAGTTCTATCAATTACACATAACCTGAAGGAACAGGCTGTCACCCTCCCTTTGTGGATTCTGATCTTGGGGAGAGCTATGGTTGAAATCTGGAATGACCTCACAAGACTCATTTGCTATGTTAGTCCTCAAGAAAGTACTATGGGGTGGTGGTGGGAGCTTTATGCGGTGTGACCTCATGTGAGAGCTTTAGGGCTTTGACGGCATGTCCCCATCATGTGCCCCTCCCCGTGGAACTGCAGAACCCAGGCCTTCGTCTCTCACTTCACTTCTTAACCCTAAACTGAGCAGTTTTGCTGTGCCACACGTGCCTCCTATCTTGCCAAGGGCCTCCCCCAAATTGTGCCAATCGGACATGGAGGGAAACTTCCAAAACTGTTACCTAAAATAACCTATTCTTTTTTATAAGTTTATTAGCTTATTAAATATTTTATTTTAGTTTGTTAAATATTTCAGATATTTTGGTATGGTAACAGAAACCTGGCTGTCAGGAAGAACTAATATGAAGGTATTTTTTTCACTGCCTTGGTGACTAAGGGTAACAGGCCATGTTATTGTAGAAGTCAAAACTACAGAGCAAGAATAGAAAGACATTGATTTGTAGACTGTGAGAGCACATATTTGGGAGAAAGCTCGAGGATGTTCTAGCTAATCCCTGCATTCTACTCAAGGTCAGCAACATAGTCTCGGCAGGTGTCTGCACTAGCTCTATTCAACTTTCCCCAGGGAAAGGGACCTCCATGTCATGGAGTGTCAGTACATTTCCCCCAGCAACAACAAATATTCCTGCCTTCTTTCCCACACACAAACACCTCTCAAGTAGTCAAAAACAACTCTTTGCCTTCTCTCCCCACCAACTACATCTTTCCTTAAATCTACTGAATCTGGCTTTGCATCTGTTCTTCAAGAAACATGATTTCATTTAGGCTGCCAGTTTGCTTGGCTGCCCTCCAGTGAGTCAATATCCAATTAACGGCTAAATGGCTTTTGAGGAGTATGGTAAGGTGACCAAAGAATAAACATTTGAGTTACAGTTCAACTTTGCTCTCAGCCTTGAGAAGGCGACCTCTCGTTTCTAGCCTCCGGGTATGTGGTCTCACAGATTCATCACTCTGTGGCACCCTTACAAAGAATCACTTCCCCAAGTCAATTTTTGTTGTTTAGAATAGACAGTGCCACCCCACGCTCTCTGGGGCATGGCTCTCTTCTGACATCTATTGACTTCCACATCCTGGAAACAGTGCAATCCTTGGGTTTAATATTTCAAGCTGAACCATTTTCCCTTTGATTCACTCTTCCAGAGTGACATTGATAGGTCCTTATCAGCACTATCCTCCCAGCTGCTTAGGACTGTAAACGTGTACTATTGGCTTCATTTTCTCCTTTGCAAAACACTCCACCACAGACCTCCCATGTCTTTTCTTTGCTGTATCTCTAAAGCCAGTGTCCTTGGGTTCCTTGAATTATTATAATTTGTATTATCCTAGTGTTTTCCTGGGATATGATCTGTGAAGCCAAACTTTGAAATGTTCTATGGTAAGGCACATATGGTAACATGAATATGGATATCTCTCCAAGGAGGACACATCAATTAACTCTTTCCAACACTAACGTCTTCAAAAACCTTAGTCACTGAAAGTGCTGACCATGGATTATTTGCTCATCTTGTCCATCCTAGGTTAGGCAGTTCTGGAATTTGCTGAGGCCGACTTACACCCAGAAGCTTTCTGGATGGTACTGAATTTACAGTCTCATTGGTTATGGCAGCTGGCTCTGCCCTTCTGTCTCCTCCATCAGATAATTACATATCCCCCTCAGGCAATTATAGAAGTCTAAAAAGATTTCAAAGTAGAAATAAACAAATGTCTCAATGACTGCTTATGTAAGTTGCTGATGACTGATTCAGGTTAATCTCATGCCCAGAGTCAGTGTGAAAAAGTCTACTGAAGATATGGTCTACACATTTTGTTTTTGTTGTTATAGCATAGTGAATAAGTTTAAGTACTCTATAAATAGGTT